CCTGCTTGTCTTCAGCAGTTTGCTCATCTGTAAAATAGAATGTAGGTACTCCTGTCATGGGGGGTGTGGGGGGTGTTGGGAGGGCCCAGGGAGCTGTAGCATGTAAAATACTGTTTGGGGGCCTGGCTCAGAGCTACCACTCAGTAAGTTTTAAGAGCTATTGTTTGTTCTTATATACATCTATTTTGCTTCTTATGTTTTTCTTAGTCCTATAGAAAACTAGAGTGAATTTCAGAACTTCTAAAAGCAATAAAGAAGCATAAGAGGGCATGAGAGAGCATTGTGTAGACTCTAAAACCAGACAGAGCTGGGTTCGAATTTCACTTTTACCCCACGAAAGCTGTATTCTCTTGACCTAACCCTCTGTTTCCTTATTTACAAAATGGGAATATTAATACTCCCTATAGTATCAAGGTGTTGTGGGGTTTAGATAAAGCATGTAAAAGATGAACACACTCCTAACACATAGTAAGTGCTCAGTGGACGTTGTCGATCTTTAGTGTTACCGTATTTTGTATTCTGGGGATGTTTGTATGGATTGACTACAAATATCCAATTCTGTAAGCTCTAAGATTTCTTTTTAGCTTATTTAATAGGGAAGGAACTAATAAGCTTAAATGTAACTAGTATTTGAGGCGCCTGGGTGGCTCAGTCGGTTGTGTCTGACTCTTGATTTCGGCTGGTCGTGATCTCAGGGCCCGGAGATTGAGCCCATGTGGGGCTCTGTGCTCAGCGGGAAGCCTGCTTCTCCCTCTGCCTGCCGCTCTCCATGTTCATGCACTCGTGCTGTCTCACAAATTAAATAAAATCTTTTTAAAAATGTAATTAGCATTTAATTTGTATTAATTTGCTAATTATTAATACTAATTAGCTTGAAATACCAATGAGTAGTCATGGATATATATAAATATATATTTATAATATCATAAATTATATATATTTATAAATAATATATATTTATATATTGTTTATATATTATAAATATATATTTATAAACAAAATATATATTTTATATATTGATATATTGATATATTTTATATTTATATATTTGTATATATTGTATATAATGTATATATTATATAAACATAAATATATAAATATTTACATAAATATATATAAATTTGGGTATTACATAAATTTATATAATAAAATATATAAGTATAAACCATATATAAAAATATTATATGTTTATATATATACATATATAACTTATTATATAAATTTATATAACAGTGTATATACATTACAGAGGTAGGTAGGTAGATTGGTAGGTAGGTAGGTAGATAGGCAGATAGACAGACAAGAGATTCAAGAATCCAGGCTTAGGAGGAAAGAGAAGAGGGGAATTCAGGGAAGGTTTTTCAGAAGAAAAGTTTCTAGTCCATGCTGAGTTATTGATTAGATATTAGGATACAATGGGGAGGAAGTAAGAAGAGTCGCCTTAAGAGAACCACATGTTGCTTCATTTGTGTGAAGTTAGGCTGGAATGTGTGTCTGGGTGGGTTGGGTTGAGGTTCCTGGGAAGAAACCAAAGAAGTCCAAAAGATAAACTGGAGCCAGACCAGGGTCTAATAAATAAGCTCTGGTAAGGAGTTTGAATTTTATCCCGAGGGCAAGAGGAAGCCACTAACAGTTACTTTTTTTAAACAGGGGAGTGAGAAGATCAGATATGCACATTAGAGAAAGTATTCTACCTTTGTGGAAAATGAACTGGAGGGGGCCGGAAGATGGGCAGGAAACCAGTAGAGGAGGTTGTTGCCGAAAGCCAGTGCTGGTGGCCTGGACTGAAAGTTAGCAGCCCTCTTTGCCTAAGTCCTACGTGAAGGCAGGTGGGGTGGCCCTACAGCCCCGATGCTGGTGGTGAAAAATGAGTATTGCCTGAGCCTGATTCTCTAGTGTGTATACCTCTCCCTGAAGTAACTGAGACCCTTTCGGAAGTTGCATTACGTCTCCTAGACCACAGGAGTGCCATTAAAGCCTGCTACAGCGTATTATATGGAATGGAATCTCGGCCTGCAGTCAGCCAGTAAATGAATATAACTTATGTTGAATTCCAGCTAATGTACAGTCTTAGAAGTAGCAGTAAGTCTGGAAAGTCACTTGGGTACCATTTCAAGTACTGAACTGTGATTTACTTGGTCATACCTCAGTGGCCTATATGTGCCCATATAGCTTCCATGGGCTTTTCTACTTTGTTCCAGGGAATAACTTATGGAATGAAAACACGCATTTTTAAAATATATTTTCTATATCTTACTCATTTTCTTGGTGGGTAGGGATTATTGAGGTCAGGATTTATTGTTCAAAAATGTGCAGTATAAATGAAAGTAGCAAGTCATAACCTAGAAATGTGCAGTTTTAAATGAAAGTAACAAGTCATAACCCAAAGTAATGTTTCCTATTAAATGTTTATAATAAAGTTTTAAAAAGTATTGATCTCACACTCTTATCCAAAAGAAATTTAAATTTTATTTTGCAAGGCATGTTTAAATTTTATTTTGCAAGGCATGTTTAAAATATCAGTATTAATTGTTCACTAATAAATACAGAGTGAGTCACATGCCCATGAGGTCCAATGCTTAAAAAAACAAAACTGATGTCATCCTGGTAAGCCCTGTGAGGTCCCAAACCATGTCTTAGTCATCCTTTTATTCCCATGTAATTATCACCATGAGTCCAGCACTTAATATATGTTTAAAAGTTTGTGATTGCCACATGCAAATGACAGTAATATGGGGAGCTTGTCTGAGGCCCCAATTTTCGTGGCGGAATAACTATTAGGAGTGTGAGAGCTCTCTGCGTATCTGTGATGGATGTTATGGGAACTTTGGACAATTGGTATTCCTGAAAGGCACAAATAAAGAAACCTCAAATATGAGTCTGTGATAACTAAATTTGAAACTATCTTAGGAAATAGTTTCCCTTAATAAAAATAACAAAGCCTTGGATCAGGTTTTCAGAGTTCAGAGATGTTTGATAAGTAAGTAGGAAAAGATTTTTAGATATGCAAAGAGATAGAGAGATTTATCTAGTTTGGGAAAGTAAAAAGAGAGAAAAGGTACGTAAATGCAGTGGAGAATTTTAGAAATGTTTACTGAGATAAACAGTAACAGCTCCTAACATTTGTGTGGTACTGTAGATTGTGCATCGTGCTTTCCAAAACATTACCTCATTTGATTTGCTGAAGAACCTTATGAAGTAGAGTTTTCACGGATAGGGAAATTAGATCTTAGGGTGGTTAGGTGATTTGTCCAAAGCCCAAATAGCTCATAAGTGATGACTGGAAACCCGGTTTTGTGACTCTTAAGGTGATACTTAAATGTTGAGGAGTAGCAAATAAATAATTGGCATGTATTAACCCCTGCATCATACCTGAAGACATCTGTGAGTAGCTAGTTCACAGAGAAGACTGTCTGCTTGAACTGCCAACACATTTATTGCTCATACCATTCATTTGACATAAAGTTTTAATTAAAAAAAAAGGTTTTTTCTGTTTATAGAAGCAACACAGCTTCTGAGTAGAAAAGTTTAAAATGTGCCTTGGCTTCATGAATATTATGTGACCAATGGTTGTGCTCTTCCATAGATAACGTTTCTGAGATTTTTGTGCTTTTTAAAAACGTTTTATACTTTTAAAAATATTTCTGATGAAATCACCAAAACATTTTCCCTGTTTTCATTTTTACTTTAGCAAAATAATATGAAAAATGTTTCCATATAATTAAACATCATTGTAATACCACTTCAGTGTCTTCATAGTATTCCATTTTCTGAATAACACCTATGAAGGACTTGGGAATGCTTTCTATGTTTTGTTATTAGAAACAACGCTGAAGAACATCTTTGCTATCTCTTTGTATAAATCCACGTATTTTTTTTCTCAGAGCAAATGTTTGGCAATAAAATTGCTGGCTGGAAGTTATTTAATCATTGACCAAACAGCCCAACCAGAAAGGCTGTGCATATTTAAATCCCACTTTGTAGCGTATGAATGCCATGGTTTACAGATTTGCCAATCCCTGATATTTTCAAAAACCTTTGCTAATATGATTATCAGAAATAGTATATTATTGGGGCGCCAGGGTGGCTCAGTTGGTTAAGCTTTGGACTCTTGATTTCAGCTCAGGTTATAATCTCATGATCCTGGGATTGAGCCCCTCATCAGGCTCAGGGCTGGGCATGGTTATTCCGCCTGCTTAAGATTCTCCCTCTCTCTCTCTCCCCACCACTCACGTGCACAAAACACTCTCTCTCTCAAAAAAAAATAAATAAATAAAATAAAAGTGTTGCTTTGAGTAGTTTAACAATAAATAAATAAAACGAGGGAACGGAGATTGCTTTTATGTTTGTATCCTGCCCAGTGGCTGCTATTTATTGTTGAACCCGTGTAGACATTCAGCACATAGAATGTTACCTAGAGAGCACATGTAATACATAAAACATTGATCATGTTCCTCTCTGGGCCTTGTCTTATCAAATACTTCAAGGGCTGCCATTTATTCTTCTGTGAAATTGAAATAATCAGCTTTTTCAGTGGGCCATTATAGTGACCAGCACAAGTCTGAAAGTATTTGAAAGTAGCATTGTAGTTTTTGAGCTTGTAAGAACTTTAAAGATCCTTTAATCAGGTCCATCATTTTTCATTAAGCCTATTTAATGTAAAGATATGAAAAAATCCTGGTGTTTTACAAATTGAAATGGAAAGCCCAGTGTCTAATATTTTTTGCACAAATGTATAATTTTGCCCATAATTTTATATGAGTTACTCATGCCCTCAGAAATTTAAATCTCTCTACCCTTTAGTGCTTTGCAATATGGTGAAAATTGTCAATGACTTTAAGAAAACACAATTTTTGGTCATGGCAGTGGATTCTGGTTTTGAAGATAAACCAAATGCATTTGCAATGAATTTCAACTCTGTTTTATCTAAATAATGATTTCTTATGGGTACATTATTCTGCATAGCTTCGTCAACCATATTTCTTTTCATTTTGTTTTAGGTAGCAGTTTTACAACATCATCAGGATTATATACAGGAAATAATTCACTCACAAATTCCTCTGGATTTAACAGTTCACAGCAGGTAATTTTAAAAGCCAGTTTAACTTCAGAATTTTTTTTTAAATGCAACAGATGATTTTCTTATATAAAGAAAGATCTGTTTATATTATACTGTGACAGCTTACCTAAGCCTTTTAAAATATATATATTTTTTATTTTAAAAATCTCTTTAGCAGTCTTCCATGGTGAGCATTTGGTTTTCGGATTCATTTAATTTTACCTAGTCATGCATCATGGCATAGAAGACACAGGAAGAGTGTATCTGATCTTACATAAAATTTGTTTGCAAGTCTGGGCACTTCCATCAGTGTATACTTTGGGAATTCAAAGAAGACCCAGAAACACAAATATAGTTATACTTTGAAAAGTGAGAAATAAGCAGCAACATTCTGACGGATTACTCTTGTGTGGTTTGATTTGGTAGGACTATCCATCTTATCCGAGTTTTGGCCAGGGTCAGTACGCACAGTATTACAATAGCTCACCGTATCCAGCCCATTATATGACAAGCAGCAGCACCAGTCCGACCACGCCGTCCACAAATGCCACTTACCAGCTTCAAGAGCCACCATCTGGCATCACCAGCCAAGCAGTTACAGATCCTGCAGCAGGTAATTATGTGCACTTTATTAGTCCTGCAGGCTAGATTCCTGGTGGTTTAAATGCATTTTTCTACAGTCCTATATTCATGCAGTGGTTTCACAGTTTTGGCAAGTTTTGGCGCAGCCTAAATGTAAGTCAAATAGCAGGATTGTGGCATTAACTTTATTTATTTTTATTTGCTGAAAAATTTTAGTATAAATTATGTAACTTCAAAAGACCTTGAAATTGAGATTTTATTTAGTTGTAAATATACTCAATTTTCAGGAGATAGTGTTTAGATACATAATTATAAATATTGAGCTATAATTATTAACTATAATTATAAATATTTGCCCACATGTTGAATATGAAAACATATTACCTCGAATTCAATGTTTATTATCATTAAATATTTACTGTTTCTCCAGAATCAAAAAAATATCAGAGTTAATAATGGAAAACAGTGATTCCTCTGGTTCACCCTCCCACTCATGGCCTACTCTGGATTTTGTAACTGGGCATGAGAATTTTCATACTTCTGCACAACCCTCGATAGGCCCTTTCAAATGAAAATCTCTCCATCTCTGGAAATTTTCCTACCAAGTCTTTGACATTTCTTTCCCTCCTTTAGTTTTTCTCTGAAACTCTTAATATTGTATGCTTAATTTCCTGAATTGGTCTTTACCTATATTTCTTATATTTTCTCTTGCACTTCTCACCTTTGTCTTATTAAAAATGTAGTCCCCCCTTTCATGGATTATGAGGTGAGCTATTATCCTCAAACAATCAGAGTTTGCTTCCTTTTGCCTTTTATTTTTAGAGCCAAAGCCCACTCTTTGCTGCAAGCCAGGTTAAAATGGTCTTACACTGAAACACACTTCTATGAAATTGTGATCATAGTGTGTTAATTCTAGTTGGTTATCCTACATCATGAAAACAAATTTTATGGAACAGGTGCTAATTTCAATCTTGACTATAGGTTTATCTTGCAAATATTAACAGATGTCCCCCATTAAAAAAAATCTCCTTTGGGTTTTTAGTGTTTCACATTTTTTCTTAAATGTAGGTGAACACTATTTTGTTCTAGAGCAGAAGTTATTCCTAAACTTCTATTCCAATGAACTACAAATACTATTTCTGCACAGCACAACTCCATACATTTTAATCTTTGATGATTATAATCCATTTACCTTTATTCTTTAAAAACTAGCTTGATATATTTTTCACTCAGTTCACATGTATAAATACAGTATTCACAGAATCTAATATAAATGTCTTTTAGATTTAACAACTATATAATTGCTGTCAAAAATTGGATTTATTGTAGAAGCTGTTACAGAATTTTCCTCTCTATTTCCATTCATTTCATATAGGCATCATGAGGAAAGATAATGGCTTGTCCCAATTTTAGGGAGATCTCATGTTTTCATATGAACCATCTGGGCCATGCCAACTTCTTGCGGACTAAAAGGAGCTTTGAAATAGAATAGCAGAGTAATTTTACTTACTTCATCGTGACATTTTGATTGTGAAGAGTACAGTACAAAGTAATGAAGACTTAATCATGTTTTTAAAATTAAGGTTGATTAGTACTTTCTAAAAAATACCAACTTAGGCATATCAGAAAAGTTAGTCTCTGAAACATGCCATTATTTTAAGTGCATTTTATTTATCAAAGGGGTGCCATGTGAAAGAGTGGGGAGGACTAAGCACAAAGCCATGTCCCGTAGGAAACAATGCAAAAGTACGATTTTCAAAATGTCTATATGATTTTAAGATTAAATGATTTATTTTAGATTTTATTTGAATAAATGCTTAGTATTTCAGGTACTCATTTCAATTTCAGTATCTTTATGGCTGCAGAATAGGAATGAATTGAACTGGGGAGAAAATAATATTTTTCAGGTTTCTTATATTTACCACTTCCCACTAAAATAAATGTATGGATCAGCCTTCCTTATGTAGTTAGAAGTGGAAAGTTCAGTGAGTTTCCACATTAAAAAGAAATGTGGATTACTTGAGAAATTCAAGGAAGAGTTAGTCTGGTTTTGGGGCTTTTGATTTGTTTGTTTGTTTACATTTGCAGTATGACTGGATTCAGCCTAAGTCTTTTGGTGTTAATTTTCCTTTCTTATTAGTCATATATAAGATTGTAGACTGGTCTTTGATGAAAAGGAAGTTTTGAATGATAGAGTCCACAAAATCATTAAAGAATTAGAAGGAATGATTTATAACATATAACCTAATGTTTTTGTTTTACTATAGAAATAAAAAAATGGTTAAAATCATGTCTATTTTGTTGAAATCATTTCAGATTTTTTTTCTTTTAATTTTAATAGTCTATTAGGTTTAAAGTCAGTATTTTCTACATTGGAAAATTAGATTCTAGGTTATGATCTGATCTTATGTATGGCCAGGTTTCTGCCTTTCAGTTTCAAGGAATTATACAGTACAGAATGAATACACAGTATATGTGGCTCTCCTCCCATACTTTATAATATCTGTTCTTGTATTGTTCATGGAATTGTTATGTCATAATGAACATATAAAGATAATCTTGCAAGGATTTTTCAGGCCAAACATATAAGGACTCATTATTTGGTATTATGCATTTTTAAAGTTATGAAGAATAGCTATCTTTTAAGTCCATGGTATTTTGCAGTATTACTTATAAATATGTACCTCCTCATGAATCTTAAGTTCAAAAATTATTTTAATGTGTTTATAATTAAATATTGAAAGTTATATTCTCCTTGAGTAGATATGTATAATACATTAAAAATAACATAACTTGAACACGAAAGTTTAATATCAAAATTTTAATTCATTTTAAAAAGTAAAAAACAGCACCTTTTTTGCCTTTTATTGAGATATAATTGATATTTAACATTATATTAGTTTGAGGTGTGCAACATGATTTGATATTTGTTATGTATTGTGAAATGATCACCATAGGAAGTCTAGTTAACATCTAGTGTATGTAGTTGCAGATATTTTCTCTCGTAATGAGAACTATTAAAATCTATTAGCCATTTAAATCCTTTGCATTCATTTTTAAAAATGAGTTTGGGGCACCTGGGTGGCTTAGTTAAGTGTCCAACTCTTGAGTTCGGCTCAGGTCATGATCTCAGGGTCGTGGGATTGAGCCCTGCGTCGGGCTCCATGCTCAATGGGGAGTCTAATGGAGATTCTCCCTCTCCCTTTGTCTCCCCCCCACATGCCGGCTCGTGCGTGCACGCTCTCTCTCTCTTTAAATAAATAAATAAATAAATCTTTATAAAAAATAAGTTTGTTAGTCACGTTTTGACTATCTTAACAAAAGTTACATCATCTGGAAATACTTAAGTATTCATCTACCGTGGGAAATATGGTGAGGTTTATCTGTTTATTTAGCAATATTGTAATACTTATTGGGCTCAAGAAAATCATACCTACTCTTCAACTAGCAATGCTAGCCTCCTCCTTCATCATCGAAGGCCATCTCGGTTGCTTCTAACTGGCAATTATAAATAAAGCTACTAAATATTTGTGCTCAGCTTTTTTTGTATAGACATAAGTTTTCAAATCACTTGGGTGGTAAAAACCCAGCAGTGTGATCACTGAATTGTATTGTAAGAGTATGTTAATTTTATAAGGAATTGCCAAATTGTCTTCCAAAGTGCTATACCACTTTGTGATCCAGTAAGTAATGAATGAGAATCCTGTTGCTCCACAGCCTCGTCAGCATTTGGTATTGTCAATATTTCAGATTTTGCCCATTCTGATAGGTGTGTAGCGATATCTAGTTGTTTTAATTTGCATTTCCCTAATGAAATATTATGTTGAGTATGTTTTCATATCCTTATTTGCTCTGTATATCTTCTTTGGTAAGGTGCCTGTTCAAATCTTGTGCCCATTTTTTAATGAGCTTTTTTTCTTATTGCTGAGTTTAAGAGTTCTTGTATATTTTGGATACAAGTCCTTTATCAGATAAGTTTTGCAAATACTTTCTCCCAGTCTATGGGTTGTCTTTTTAATCTCTGAACAGTATCTTTCAAAGAGCAGAAGTTTTCAATTTGAATGAAGTCCATCTTAGCAGTTTTTCTCTTTCATGGAATATGCTTTTGGTTTTGTATCTAGAAACTCACTGCCAAACCCAACCCAAGGTCACCTAGGTTTTTTCCTATGTAATGATCTAAAAGTTTCATAGTTTTGCCATTTCAATTTAGGTCTCTGATCCATTTTGAGTTAATTTTTGTGAAAAGTGTAAGTTAGCTTCTAGATTCCTATTAATGTATTTATTTGTTTATTGATTTTTGCATGTGGATGCCCAGTTGTAGCACCATTTGTCGATAAGCCTATCTTTTGCTCCATTGAATTACCTTTACTTCTTTGTCAGAGATCAGTTGGCTAACTTTGTGTGGATCTATTTCTGGGCTCTCTGTTCTCTTTCATTGATCTATTTTTTTTTTTCCCTAATACCACATTGTCTTGATTATTGTAACTTTGTATAATAATTCTTTAAGTTGGGTAGTATCACTCCTGTGTTCTTCAATATAGTGTTGGCTATTCTGGGTCTTTTGCCTTCCCACATAAACTTTAGAATCAGCTTGTCAGTATCCACCAAGTAACTTACTTGGATTTGCTTTAGAATTGCATTGAATCTATAGGTCAAGTTGGGAAGAACTGACAATATTGAATCTTGACAATATTGAATCTTCCTATCCATGTACATGGACTATCTCTCCACTAACTTACTTTTTTATTTTTTTCATCAGAGTCCTATAGTTTTCCTCATACAGATTTTGTACATATTTTTTAGATCTATCTTTCTTTTTTGGTGCTAATCAAATCATGTGATTTTTAAATTAAATTGCAATTGTTCATTGCTGGTATCTAGGAAAGCAATTGACTTTTGTATATTATCCTTGTATCCTGAAACTTAGCTATAATCACTTATTAGTTCCAGAAGTTTTTCATGTTGATTCTTTGTCTTTTTTTTTTTTTTTACATGGACAGTTATGTCGTTTGTGAACAAAGATGGATTTAT